TTTGATTGCCAATTGAAGCCCATTAAACTTATCTTGAAATTTCTTTGTTTGAGACCTTGTCATGGGCCTTCTTGGAGCTTTCAAAGTTTCATACTTCTCCTTTAATAATGTTGAGCTACCATGAATGCTATCAATGTTTGTCTCGTTGCTTTATCAAAAGCTCTATGTACCTCGTACTCTGTTAAATCAGAGGACAAAAGGTCAAAAAGGGGGAAGCTAACTTGGAAAATGAAGGTGACGTGCACTAGAATTCTTCATCATTATCATAAAAAAATACAATGCATCTTGACTCAACTTATAGCATGTTTGGTTAAGTTCTTTTTTGGGCTAAAAGTACTTTTTCTCAAAGTTAAGATGTTTGGTCAGCTTGAAGGACAAAGTATTTGAGTAGAAGAAGAAACTGGTTTTGAGAAGCTGCAAAAGTAGCATTTTATAAGTACTTTTTAAAAGTTTGGTCAAACATTAGTTGCTGTTTAAAAGTACTTTTTACATTAATTAATCAAACATAAATTATTTTTTATTAAAAGTATTTTTACTTTTGAGAAAAAACACTTTTCAAAATATACTGATTTCAAACGCTTGGCCAAAAAGAAGTTGGGCGTCTCATGCTTCGCTATGTCCCATTCTATATTCGTTGTATTTTCCTTTTCTGGCATGCTTCTATTGTCACTCTTGACACACGAGATAAGCACAATTAAGCACGATGAAAATGACAACATTTATCTTGTTGATTAGAGGACCTTGTTTTCTTTTCCTTCCTCTTTTCAGTTCTATTCCATTAGTAAATGGAGGCCATCAAATATTTTATCAATTCGCTAGAGGACAATGGAGGGTTTTCTTAGGGATACTACTGTGAATTTCGTTAGAAACAGTTAATGCGAGTTTATGTTTCAAGTAATCTTAGCAATCCTTACGTTTGGGCGACGAAATCTATTCTTGATTCCTCTTAGGGTTAGCTTCGTAGTGCTAACCTTTCTTACGATTTACGATATATGCTATGATTAACTTTGGTATGATTAGACAGCATGAGTAAGCTTTTTCCCAAAAAGGGACCTGAACACAAATACTGCTTTGAAAGATAATCTGCTCCCGATTCTACGCTCAAAAGAAATACCAATTCCATTCCAACAAAGGTGTGGGCCGGCCTCTTGGCTGATGGGGTCAAGAAGAGCGAAGTCCACAAAGAACATAAAAGAGCTAAGTACGTTACTTGCTTGTTCTATGGCTAATCATAGGCTTTAACCTTTGCGTAAGCAACCGCAGCATTTCAGACGTTATTAGTGCTTTCGATGATTAAGTCTAAGTCAATAGGCTTATTACAGCCTTTGATTAATATATACCTAAAACGTGGCCGCCCCCTCGTCGTTTCAAAAGCTTTGAATTCAAATTTGGGTTTTCAAAAATCATTATATGTTTGGATTGGGTGTTGTTGCAAATAATTGGGAATATAGTTTGGAGTTTATATCTTAATTTTGAGGGGTTTTGGTGAAGATTAGACTTGGTTTTGGCTGAATTTCGGATTGAAACTCGAAAAAGAAGAAGAAGACATGACATACATTATATTGCAGTAATTGTAGAAAAATTGTAGAAAAATTGTATTCGTTTGTTTATTTATTTTTTATTCATTTAACTATTGTATGAAAGTAGAACAACATTGTATAAAAATTATATTTAAGTGGTATTATATTGTAGTTGTATATAACTTAGTAGAAATAATGTACGAAAATTGTAGATAATTTGTAGATAAGTTGTATAATATATAATTAGTTGTATGAAAATTGTTTTTACTATGTATAAATCAGATACAAAATATACAAAAGATATATTGTATAAATTTTGTATGTAAGTTTTATGTTATTGTAGTTGTATTTCACTGGGTGGAATAATGTGTGAAAGTTGTAAAAAATTATAGATAAGTTGTATTCCTCTATAACGGGAGATGTTGGCATATCAAGTAACTTTAGTGGTCCAGACGAACATGCATGAAAATAAAGATAAATTCTGTTTTGAACTGTTTGTAGAAAATTTATAGATAATTTGTAGAAACATTGAAATTCTGTATTTTCAAATTACTTTTTCAAATGATATGCAGTTTTATTGTAGAATAAATGTAGAAAACAAGCCATTGTGAGTCTTATTTGACTCATTCCTCACATTCAACCTATTCTACAAATTCACGCCTCTTTAAATGCAATTCAACCGTACTTTGTTGAATTTAAAGGTATAGCAATATATATAACTTAAAAAACATCTTCTCCTCTGCACAAGTTAGCTCCAAAACAGACGAAGTGGAATAACAAGCTCCCATAAAAACTTTTAACACAAAAATGCAAAGCTCAAATTTTATGTTATTGTAGTTATATTTAACTGGTGGAAATAATGTGTGAAAGTTGTAGAAAATTGTAGATAAGTTGTATTCCTCTATAACGGGAGATGTTGGCATACCAAGTAACTTTGACGAACATGCATGAAAATAACGATAAATTCTGTTATGAGCAGTTTGTAGAAATTTTGTAGATAATTTGTAGAAACATTGAAATTCTGTATTTTCATATTAATTTTTCAAATGATATGTAGTTTTGTTGTAGATTAAATGTAGAAAATAAGCCATTGTGAGTCTTATTTGACTCATTCCTCACATTCAACCTATTCTACAAATTCACGCATCTTTAAATACAATACAACCATACTTTCTTGAATTGAAAGGTATAGCAATATATACAACTTAAAAAATATCTTCTCCTCTGCACAAGTTAGCTCCAAAACAGACGAAGTGGAATAACAAGCTCCCTTCAGAACTTTTAACACAAAAACACAAAAGCTCAAAAAAAATAAAATAAACAACATTCTATAATTTTTCTACAATTTTTCTATAATTGCTGCAATATAATGTATGTCATGTCTGCTTCTTCTTTTTCTTCGAGATTCAATCTGAAATTCAGCCAAAACCAAGTCTAATCTTCACCAAAACCCCTCAAAATTGAGATATAAACTCCAAACCATATTCCCAATTATTTACAACAATACCCAATCCAAACAAATAATGATTTTTGAAAACCCAAATTTGAATTCAAAGATTCAAAGTTTTTTAATGGCTATTAGTGGTGGAATTGCTGCTCTCTTTTCCTTTCCTCTTATATTACTGAAGGAACCCGAAATCATAACCATCAAATCGATCAGGCTTGTGCTCATCTTCCCTGGGCACAAAAACATTGGGACAAGATTGCAGAGGTGCCGACAGTGCCTTGGCTATGGAAGAAATAATGGGATTTTGATACATAAATCATGGGTGTGGGAGGGAAACGTGGGTGAAGGTGTGGGAATTGGAGAGAGAAACGTAGAGGGAGTGGTATTAGAAGGAATATATGGTACCATTAAATTAGGAGTGTAATTAATACCCTTAGAAACCACTAATGGTATATAATTGGTAATTAGGTATACTAAATATTATTATATCAAACCTTAAACATTGAGGGTAATATAGTTTCCTATATGGCATATGAATGTAAATATTCCAATTATATATGGGATCCAGGCCCAGTTAGAAAGTGGATAAAAAGAACTACGAGGTTAGAAAGAAAGAATATGCGAATTATGTTGAAGTTTCGGCTCAAGTCTGTGCTTCTCATCTCCTATTCTGACTCTGTATCCTATCCCCTTTCTTCTTAGCTTCCTGTTGCAGTTTCTTTTCTCATCTCGTCTCTATTTCCTTAAGTGTTATATTCTATTGTTCTATGAACACTTGGTTATTGTAATTTCGTTTGGTGAGTTAATACCATGTGTTGATTTGGGTGTAATATGTGGTTTGTTACATATTGCCATCACATGAGGGAGAACCGACAAAGTGAAGGGGCATATAATAAAAAAAGGGCCTTACGAACATGTATTCACACCAAATAAAAAAATCTAATAATCACAAATCAAAGCAAAAGCATATGTAACTGAAACGTGAATAAGTGACAAGTGTCTATGAAAAAACATGTGTTACACTCAACAATTTGGAGTAAATATTGGGTGCTTATAAATAATCTCCATTTATTTTTGTTTGACTGCATTAATGGTCGTATATGGTTTGTTGTTGTTGTATATATAGACCAATCAGTGAAATAAGTGAATGATTAGCTTGGGGATTCAGATGATACGGAAGAATGAAGGGTGCGGATGACGCGTTGTCTATTTTCCATATCCCATTGACTTGTTTCCAAGATTCAAATATGAAGAAGGATTATTCTACTGGGGTCAAAAATCCTGTGACATTTTATATTGCTCTTAATTAAGTTTAAAATGTCGTTCGACTTATTACATTATATTAGTGATAACAAAAATATGAAGTACTAAGATATGATTAAAAAAGTTGCAACAGATGATTGTTTTTTCTGTTATCAATTATCATTAGACATCACACAAATGAATGTTAGAATCAAAGCCGAAAGCACTAGTCGTCTAGTTGTACGCTAAGCCGCTCACATTTATATCCGTTAAAATAGTCTTTGGCTCTTCCTATTAATGTTAGGTTAGTAAATGCAGAAGACAAAATAAAGGGAAAAAAACTTGATTTATAAAGCTTTTTTTTCCTTAAACACCATGCCAGTATCGAGTCAAACTGCTCATTTAAATTGAAATTGAGAGAGTACTCCCAATTTTTCAGTCAAATCGTAAAGCTAGCGTTTGGCCATAGATTCCAAATTTATTTTGAAAAATTTGATTTGGGTGAAGTTTTATTTGAAGATGAAAATGTGTTTGGACATACGTTTTCAAAACATATTTTCCAACTTTATTTTGGAAAAACATGTATATAATTTTCAAGTTTTGGGATTTTGGCCCAAAATCGGCTGATTTTGGGATTTGAAATTTGGGAGTTGGGATTTGGCCAAAATATGAGCAAAATTTATGGCCAAACATGAGTTTTGAAAATAAATCCCAAATTTATTTTGGGAAAACTCATGGCCAAACGGGGCATAAAGATTGTTTATTCAAGATTAATTCAAAAACTAAATAGCTAAGAACCGGAATTTAATACTACTACAACCTTTCCTTTTCATAAGTGTTCATTTTGCATAAATAAAACATAGAGATAGGATAACACTATTAAGCTTACAATTTTAAAAAGCAGTAAGCATCGAGGAGTAGAATTCACAAAAAAAAAATCTGATAAGGCACAGCTTTGCTTTTAATCAAATGGCTTTTCAGTTGTTTCTAGGTTTGTGCTTCAACAGCATCTTCCGAAGCTCAGCAGCATCAATTTCATTAGCAACTCCCTCTGGCCTGTAGTAACCGGTCACTGGATCTGGCACCCATGATGTCTTCACTGATTCCTCTCCACTTTTGTTCATCATCATGTTGCTCCTTGGCACCCCTCCTTTCGCACCACCTGAAACCGCCGCCCCTTGCGATCCCGCTGCGTATCCGCGCCTACACATACAACATTCACATACACATGTCAAAAAAACAAAAACATCTAAATCACATCGACCGAAAAACAGCATCACGGCAAATCAACGAAATTAGCAAAAACTCGACTCCTCCTATCCCCTGTTTTCGTTCGGCCTAATTTTACAATTATGCTGTGAATGCAACAAAGTATTCACTGGGATACTATATAAGTTTATGTAGTTGAGATAAAATTTAGTATATAGATTTATATCGAAAAACGCTATATATATACAGGGAAAAAGGGATCGGAACATTCATATACTTAGTTCTTATCCATGGGATAAAAGGATGTTACGGTCATTACCTGCTAAGAAAAGCAGAAACAGAATCGGAGACGAAAGCAAAGAGGACCTTGGTGTTAGAGAAAGAGCGAGCCATTTGTTTTAATGGTTAGAGTCGGAGCGAAAGAATTTCAAAAGCAGAACGCAGCAGCGGAAGCAAATGGTTGTGGATCTTCCGCAGCGGCGACCTGAAATTTCTCTAGCTTCGACTCTCTGGTTATTCTAGGGTTACACCATATATGAGAGGAGTAATTGGGAGAGGAGGAGGTATATATAGAGATGGAGGAGAAGATGGAAACAGAGAGGAAGTCATGGACTAGGGTTTTAAGTGGGGCCACGTGAAAGCAGGCCCTCTATTCAGACGCAAAGGTTCTCTCCTGCATTGACACTTGGCCGGTGAATATAGGCCTCTATAATTATTGTAGAGTTTAAGATATTACATGGTCAATATTAAAAAAAGAATTACACTAATATCACCCAAAAGATCTTCATAAAAGTGAAATTTATGATCTAAAAAATAAGATAAAGCGCTACCTGATACATCAAGAAAATATGATTTTATAGTAGTATTTTTTTTGTGATGACAGTATACATAATATAAACTCAATTGATTATAATTACTTGTATATAAAAAGTGATATTAATAATTTAAATATAAAAAATTACTATTTGATTCAACATATTAAAATACTTTAATTATATAAAAAAAATAATGCTATAATTATAGTACATGTTAGTATAAGTTAAAGCTAATTTTTAATGTGGCCTACTATCTAAATGATTACTAGCAATTCTAGTTCTAATACGTGTATTTTGATAAATGGATGCCAAATTTGTTTGACTTAAAATGTTGCTCCGAACAATATTTAAGCAAATCAATCAAATGTATAAAACGGGGTAAATCATAGCCAACCATAATTAATACTGAATTAAGAACTGAAGCAATAGAATAGCAGACGTAATAGAGATGGCATTCAAGAGGCTTTATTGATCATGAAAATTGGTCCTGCCTCTCCTTAGAGAGGTTCAGGGAACGGTAATCCATTTTCTATCCTCCAGATCGATCCTGCCTTTTTTGGGAGAGGTTCAGGGAATCCGTTTATCTCTCCTCTTCCGGGGCTTCTTCTTCTTTTGAGAAGGGATATTCTTTTTCTTTTTTGAGAGGGCCAGCGAGAGAGAGAGGGGGGGAGAGAGAATGCCTTTAAATATCTGGAGAGCCCCCTCCCTAAAATAACTCTTTTCTTCCCTATTTATAGTTGGGGCCTCACGCCCATTGGGCCTTCTTTTGGTCGACCAGGTAGAGGGGGCGACCTCAACGCTTGCTTCGTATTTGATGCGGATTGGGCGAGGTCAGGTTCGCTGGTCATTGCTTTGGGGAGCGTACTTGAGACGGGGTCGATACCACGACGGTCGATTGGTCAGATTTCTGACCGATACAGTTAGTCCCTTCGTTCGTCGGGGTTGTACCCTATCGGCCTCGACGAACGGACTATGTAGCGACGTGGTCGTATTGTGAGTGGTTCGTACACTGTCACGCCATGAGTTTCGAAACAACATAGAGGGTGTTCGTCGATACTTTTCACACCGTCGCGACGGTTTTGAAGGTGAGACGACGGCTGATAGATGGAACGTTGCTTTGTGCGAACAGTCGTGATGGCGCTTGACAGTCATTATGGCGCATGTTCCTGAGGAACCAAATTGTTTGCGTGACTGGCCAGCTTCTAATGACGACTGTTGGTCTCCGCGCTTGGGGAATTCGTGCCCTATCAATGGGCTAGACCTTGCCCTTTGTCATTCATACTTTCTTTTTGCCTGTTTTCGAGAGGGTCTTCGGAATATTCATCCCTTGGGCATTCTGAGCTCTTTCTTTGCCTCTTCTCTCACAATCTTCCTCTCATCTTCCTGTTTTTCCGATAAAACTTCCCTCTTCATCTCTGAGTTAACAATGGCGGGAACTTTTTCTCACGACAATCTTCCGGCCATCCCGCCGACGACTAAGGGTCACGCTCCGGCGGAGAGGGATTTAGGCCTAGCGGAGAACGAAGATGTTCCCTCAGTGGATGAGATCTTGTTCCGTGCGGGGAAGGTGGTGGAAGACTTCAGCGCCGACGGCGGCAGGGAGTACCCCGACATTGATCCCTTATGGGGGAGTCTGGAATAAAGGAGCTGAGGGAGCGATGGGGCATCCCCAGCTACGTCGAGATAATACCCGCCGAGAAAAATGATAGGGTGCAGATAGACCGCCCTGGGTACTGCTCGTTCTACGTGTACCCTTTCATTGCGGGGTACACATTGCCGCTCCCGATGCTGGTGGTCGACTTTTGTCGCTACTATGAGGTGTGGCCCGCCCAGATATCTCCGTACTTGTATAAGCTCTTTCTCATGTTTATTAAATACGCGAAGCTGGCAAGTCGTAAAGTGACCCTGAGGCACGTGCTTAGCCTGTTCGCCCCCCAAAGGATTCAGGGCACTATGATCCACACGCGTCCTCGTGGGTCAAGAGGGTTGGTGGTCGGTATGGACGACCGTACCAACCGCCGCTTTGCTGATAATTTCTTCTTCGTGCGGACCGAGCATCTCGTGGCGGATCCGACTGGCTTCCCGGCGGTGTGGAATTTCGCCCGTAAGTATCTGCTTTCAGTCGCCAGAATTCGTTTCGGTCTATCTTTCCTTATGTCTTGTGTTACTTGTAGACTTATTTCTGATGTTCTGCAGCCGAGAAGGTGCCGCCGCCGCCCTTGGAGGGAATCCGGGAATGGGTAGAGGCCGTCCTGCCCCACACAGCGGGGATTCGCACTTGGGCGTCGTTCCATCTGAAGTTCGGTCGTAGGCCCCTCACAAGTGAGATTGCTTTCTTACTTCCCGACCTCTTCTGTCCATTTCTCATTTCCTGAACTTTGTTCGTTGTGATTAGGGAGGGTTCGAAGAACCCGGTCCCCTCAGTTGGCGTTTCATCGCCCGGATGCGGTCGCTCGGCTTAGTGCTCCATCTGTAGCTCGTCCTTCGTCGAGGGCGACATCTGTGGAGTCGGTGGCTCTCACCAACCCAGCCCGGGCCGTGCCTCAGGATGATGGCCCGTCCAGTACTGTTCGTCCGCGAGCTGATTCGTTGTCGACCGGGGAGGAGGACGACCCACCAAAGAGGCGGAGAGTGGGCTTCGAGATGGCTCCCCCCACTGTGATTAACTTGGATTCTCCTCCGGCGGGCCAGGAGGGAGGCATTGTCGTAGAATCCGCTGCAGAGACGGAACATACGGTTGGTGCTTTTTCTGTGAGTCAGAGCCCAGAGGACTCCGCTGTTGCTGCACCTCGAACAGAAGTTCCTGCTGCGGATGCGACGAATGGACGGTCCTTGGAGACTACTGCCGCGACCTTGGTCGAGCCGCCGTCATCCTTGGTTGGTCGTGCCACACTGTCGGCGGCGGAGAAGGGGAAGGCCGCGACGGTGGACGAGTATGAGTCTGAGTCTGACCTGGACCCTGATGACGTTCGAATATTTGAAGAGGGTATCACACATTCAGTGGTCAATGCGGGAGGGGGGGGGCCCGCCTCGTTGATATTCCCGTAGATATGAACCTGTTGGCCCAGAGGGGTGAGTTGGTGGAGCAGTTTAACCTGCTGTGTTCCGAGGCTGCGAATGAGTCCCTGAGGGAGGTTCCGGACGTCGCCGTGATGGAAGAGGTGGCCGTAATGGGCTTGCGGGTATGTTATACTAGAATTTTAATCCGTCAGCCCTTTAGTGTGGAGCGGACATTTTTCTAACTACTCTTTATGTTTTGCAGTCGTATATACTAGAAGTGGAGAATATCCGCAGGGCCAACGTTCGGTCGAGGATCTTTTTACAGATGTTGGGGTAGTACCGTCGTTACCGCGATAGGTGCCGTGAGCTGCATGAGCGGTTGATAAATGATCCTCGTAACCAGGCGTTGGGCGAGGAGTTGGAGCGGAAGGACCGTGAGCTATTGCAAGTGCTGCTCAGCAGGAGTGAGCTCGAGGAGCGAATTCGTCTCAAGGACGAGGAGCTCGAAGTGGGGAGGGGTGTCGCCGCCAAGTGCGAGTATCTGGAAGGCAAGGTGCGGGAACTACAGCTGGAGATAGAGCAAGTCGGGCCAGGATTGTGGAAATTGAGGCCGAGTGGGGAGCGAAGCTGGCTGCCCTAGAGGGTCAGGTCATCGACCTGGAGCGTGCGGAGAGGGACGCGTCAACTAGGGCGGCGGCCTTTGAGGCAGCGGTTCGCGTCCAGGAGTCTCAACGAGAGTTGGAGGGTGAGGCTGCGGCTCTTAGGGAGGCGAGGCTTGAGGAGCGAATTGGCGAGATTGATCAGGAGGCCCAGGATTTGTCGGATCGGGTTGCTATTTTGGAGGAAGAGAACCAGCGCCTGAGGGCCTTGGCTGGACCAGCTCGTGCCGGCGTTCGCCCCCAGACTCATGATCTTTGGGTCTATGCCGAAGCCCAGCTTGACATTTTTAAGAACCTGTTGGAGGAGGGCGCTGTGTCTGAGGAGGCTGTTGCGTTGGCACGCCAAAAAGCCCGCGAAGCAAGAGCCAGCTGTGGATATGACATGGGGACGCCCGAGACTGATGATGGTGCCCGTAGTGGCGATGATGATGGCCTTGATGGAGGTGAGGATGGCGACGGCGGTGCTGGCGCTGAGTAAAAAAAAATAATTCTGTCCTATGTAGATCTTTCCTTTGATTACGCCGATGGGCGTTTGTTTGATTGCTGTTTTCCTTTTTTTTATTTGACTCTTCGGTCGGCTTGAACCGGATGCAAGTGGCGTTGGCCTGCGTTTCTGGTTCCATTAATAAAGGATTCTTTCTTCGCTATTTGCTTTGTGATGGCGTTATCATTATCGATTTGCGATTCGGTTGTGGGCAGTAGGTGGTTGTTTTTGCCCGAGTGAGATCGAGTTATAATGCTCTGATGGCGAAGGCACCTAGCCTAAGTCCCAGTTCGAGCGAGGTCGAACTGTACTATTTTGGTGGCTAAGGCGCTTAGCCTGAGTCCCAGTTTGAGCGAGGTCGAACTGTACTGTCGATGGCGAAGGCACTTAGCCTAAGTCCTCGAGCGAGGTCGAACTGTACTGTCGACGGCGAAGGCACTTAGCCTGATTCCAGTTATAGCAAGGTCGAACTGTACTATCGATGGCGAAGGTATTTAGCCCGAGTCCTAGTTCGAGCGAGGTCGAACTGTACTGTTTTGATGGCGAAGGAGTTTAGCCTGAGTCCCAGTTCGAGCGAGGTCGAACTTCACTG